AATTTTCCATCATTTATACTGTTTCAATAAGTGGGGACAGCAAAAATGGTCCAAAACACAGTATAAACTTCTATTGGGTGTATATTTTTAACAACATAGTGAAGAAAAGTTATTTTTTGNAGACTGTGGCCTATTTTTTGAATGTGAGCCTCTGCCTAACCCACAAACGCGGACCTTGTTAACCCGGACGACATCCGAGCCGGTATCACACTTTGATCTGGTTACTACCATAATAATTATCTCCACAGAATGTGGGTGTGTAATCACTCTTAGCTTCATTTCTCCCCATAGACCTTACTGGCATGGGTGTCCCTACCAGGAGCTTGTGCTCCAGCCTGCATTGCTCTATGGTTCAGTAAAGTTACTGGGCTTTCCCACCACAACCAGGTGACCACAGGATAGTTATTATTATTCCCCACGTTTAAAGCTTATAAAACAAGAGATTAAAAACATGTGATGCCATTTCCTGTTTAGCAAAAACTAGATTTAACTCTTGTATGTCATTAAATAATATTTGTTTCTAAACAGTATAAAAGTTTCGAAAATTTAGCTGTTAAGCATTTACAGTAAAAGAATTTTTTAAAAACAAATTTTTCTAATATACATCCTTTAAGCTATAGTAATGTGAAATTGAAAGTAAATTTCACATTTGAATGGTGTTCTAACCTTTCTTAAAATTTATGAATGTTTCAGAGAACAAAACTTAAAGCTGAAATTTGTCAAATCTCAATTTCTCAAAAGCCATAAAAATAGTGAAGAAGAATTAGTAAGCTAATGATGAGCAGACCAAAAACTATTATTCATATTTTACTGGGGAAAAAAAATGTATTGCCAGAATAAGCACCCTGGAAAAGTTCATACTGTCTAAATCACAATAAAAGCATTTTCTGTTTAACAATAAATGAAAATCTGTCAAAAAGAAAAATATTCAATTTGAAAACAAGATCCATTTGCTATAACTTCGTGTATACTTCTGCAAGAAATAGCTTGCAAAAAGCAGTACTCTGTTAGATTAATCCATTTCTAGGGCAACTGAATTAACTCAAGTCAGCAAACCATTCCTATCCAGCTTCTGATATTTGAAGCACGAACTACTAAATGCTACTCACTGTGATGAATACTCTGCTTTGCATATACACTGCTCGCCATAAAAAATGTAACACCAGGAAGATCATAAGTCTGAAATTTTCAAATTGGTTAGAACATGGCAGAATATGCAAATAATTAAAAGTGCAACATAGATATAAATCAACTGTGGCAGTAGCACCCCTGAAAATAGTATCAAAAATACAAAGAGATGATGTAAAGCATCAGAAATGTGTTTGTTCACAGTTCTGGCTTATAGAAAGGATCACGTATGTCTTGTGAAGAGCATGGAAACCATACATCCTGTTATAGAGGATACAACTATATGCTATTCAGTCTGACAGAGAGAACTGTAAGATTACAGGAAGGCAGATTATGTTTCCTAGAGATCAGTGCTTATGTTGGATGGAATATGATGAAAATATAGTATCAATGAATAGAGGAGCAATAAACTCACTGATGTGAGCAATCTCAACAGCCCTGTTATGCTAACAAAAATGAGGACAGGTATGTTGTATGCTTGACTATGTGATTACAGACATACTTAGTTTGACAATTTTTACATCAATTAATACCTGCACATAACATTATATGTTGTCTACTGCATTATGGCATCCTTTAAGCACACATTGCTTCAGTTACTTTTGACTCTACAATACAGACATTTATGACTATAATGGTGCCAGAAACTTCACACATGAATGAGAAAATGGAATATTTTTTCAGATGAATCCTACATCAATATGCAACACCATGGCAACAGACTCAATGAGACATGCATAATGATGGTGTTATGTTATGGAGTGCCATTTTACACTCCTGCTTGAACCTCATATGCATTACTGTTACTTTGGCCAGCAAATGTTACATCAATGAAGTATTAGAGCCTGTGGTAGTATCTTCACTTCAGGACCACTCTAGTGCCATTTACCAATGTCCATGTAAAATGCAATAATTCCTGGAAAGCCACAGTGTTTTACTTGTTTTTTACCTTGCATAATCACTGGATTGTTCCCCATAGAGCACATCTGGTCAATGATCTCATGATTGCTAGCATTCTATACACCACCAGCTGCTACTACAAAACATTGGCAACACATTGTACATAGATTGACATTCCATAAACACATACCTGGTACTATGCTCTCATTGACAGAGCAAGTAGTAGCAACTATTGTCACCCATGGTGACTACAGAAGATAGAATAATTCATACTATGTAAATCTAATCAACTTTATGTTTAATCATTTCATATTTGTAACATAAGCTATGTATTCTATATATTTGGCTTTGACATCTTTAGTCCTTGGCATTGCTTATTTTATGGTCAGCAGTGTAATTTTCTCAAATACTGTTCTTGATATTGTATAATAAAATTTACTCTAGATACTCAAAAGTATCAGACTGAAATGTTATTCACTGTAGCATAAACATTTTTAACATATTTCTGTTATATTAATCACAATTCCAGTTTTACTTTGCTTAATTCCAGTATTACTTTAAACACAACAAGCATTTTTGAACAGTTGACTGTCCTGCTTCAGGTCAGTTATACATGTTCCATTTAGAACGCTATACCATTCTACATTCAAACATTCCAATTTGGTAAATTTTTACAACTAATGTACTCTATATAATTTAAATTTAATGAGGTATATTAATACCCCATAGTTTAATTGAATTATTATAATATTTCTGTTAATTACAAATGGCTATTATCAGGCTATTATATCTGGGATTACTTGAGGCAGAGAACAAATTTATACAGAAATTTGTTTTACACAATACTCACTGATACTCAACTCTCACATAAAACAAGACCATGCCGTAATTTCTTAACAGACTAAGCTTGTCATCTCAATCTTTTGCAAAAAATAAATTCTTTATAATAAGAATATTGTATCAGTGGGTAGAGGAGCAATGAACTTGTTAAAGAAATATATAANCAAACTATTATTATTGCATAATATTTCTTTTTAATTAATTTGTAATACATAGATCATATCAGAACAATTTTTAATATTAAATACAAAGTAAAAATGTAACTAGAAGACAAGGAAAGAAGTTAACACAGTCAAACCTTGTTATTATGTGAAGTCCATGTCAATACAAAGTAGATTTGTGATTCTGTAGACGGGGCATTACAATGTTAGCAAGTTCAGTTAATATGCAATATGACAAAGTGTGGTAGTCCTATAAATTCAACAACAATTATATTGTGGTTTTATGCAAAACATACTGTTTCTTGCTTCCTCAAAGCAAGAATGGTGGTAGAATTTTCTTTCTGGGAGAGCAGAGGTGGGTGAAAGTTATCTGCACATTTTATCATCAAATTAATTTTAAAATTTAGCAATTGATTCTCAGTAAGAAATATAAGCAAGTTTAATGAGAACATGTGATTACGTGTCAAACAGTCAATTCATATTTAAAGAAACCCACAATAATGGTCAATATAGTTAGACTTGAATAAATTATTTCAGAGTGAGTGGACGAGGAGATTTTAGAGTGGATTAGCACCCACTGTTGCACTAGCCACCTCAAAGTCATATGGCCTAAACTGGAACACATACAAGCCACATCACAACAAGATATGTATTTTTTGATTAACATTGATGTCAACTTGATGTCAATGTTATTGTCACTGGCAAAACAGCACACCAATGATGTTAACTCCAAAAAGTATAGTTTAAAACTATATAAACAAAAAAAAATTATACTTTCTTTTATAGCTGGCACTTTGTACAGTACACTGACAACTCTGAACAATTAGTTAAGACAATCCACATGAAAACAGAAGACAATAGTTAATAGGATTGGAAGATTTTCAATTAAAAATCTGTAGTTTAAAAAATAAAATAATAATTCATATTTAATTGTTGTAATTATGGAAATAATGAAACAAGTGAATTGCAATATTAAGTATGGTAACTACTGTAATTTGCAATTATAAAATTGAAAAGAAACCATTTCTGTCAAAATCTAAGATAAGTTACTATATTTTTAAATTTATGAAGTTTGGTGTTTATCCAGCTTCTGAATTCAATTTGGTGGTTAAGTCAACCTATTATATCCAGTAGTTTTAATTAATATTCTACCAACTCTAATCAACATTGAAAAATGAGCATTGATTCTTTCTTTAAGCCATTGTATCTCAAAGTATATTTGGAATAACACTCAAGTTTCTTTGTTTGCATTTTTAAGCATCCAAACAAGATAAAACAATCTAATAAAGTTTGGTATTTGCAATTTGATGGTATGACTTAATTTTTTTTGTAAAGTTTGTTTAATACAAACCTCATTAATACAAAATACCAATTTAAGTCTATTCAACTTGTTTTAATGGTGTTTGACTGTACAATATCATTAGTAACAGTAATTATTTTTCTGTCCAATGAATAATATAAAAATATAGATTTGTGAGTGGTATGCTAATACTGTAAATTTTGAAACATTTGGCATTTTAGTGAATACATATATTATTTTCATATATTCATTGATGTATAGAACTTATTTAATTTCATACTACTAGTAAATTTAACTTCAATTATCTCAAAAAAATGAACTTTTAAATATCTTTATATTTTATCAATAGCATTTATAAAACTAAATTATTATAATCATTTTTTACTTAAATGATGAAATGAATATTTTTTAAAAATTTATCATAACACAATATTTAATGTAACATTTATCAGCATCACATTAAATATCATATTAATACAATTTCTCCAGACTACAAATTTTCAATTTATATTAATTGAAGAACTTTTTTTTATTTTCTAAAACTTTTAAAGTGTGATTCAAATTTAGTTATAGTTTTTTTCAGCATTCTAAAAATAAAATCAGTAAAAAATTATTACATAAACTGAAGAATACATGTATTGTATTGAAAAATAAATATTTTAACAACTTACGCCTTTTTTATATCACCATTTGAAGCATTTCTAGGTAATTCTAAAATATCATAATAATCTTCCATTTTGCAGGAAAGTCTTCAATTTTGGCTAAGGAAAAAAAAAAGTTAAAAATAAGTTTAAAAGCATATACATTCAATTATTTTCAACTTTCTATAGTATAATCATACAGTTAGAAAGTTATTTTGTGATGTCTAAATGTCAAAGTTTTTCTATGAAAATACTGATAAACTCATTAGTAAGTGTAAATTCTCTTGCTAGCCACCACCTTATTAAAGTGAGAGAGAGCTCATTAGCTCTAATGAACCATACAGCAATTCTGGCAGGAACTTCCAAAGTACAAAGGCAGGGATTTGATACAGTTGAGGCAATTCAGAAAGAGACAAGTATTGTGCTGAATAGCTTGAAGAAAAAACTTAATGTATTCCAACAATTGCAGAATTGCTAACAATAAGTGGGCCAGATGTTTGGGTATCCAATTTGAACTAAACTTGGTGAGCACATAACCCTAAACACAAACAGCTCCTTGTCCAAATAATAGGACCAACTTCTCAAGCATTTCTGAAAAATGGGACTCTGAAAATTGAATGTTTAGCTTTTAAGTCTTTGAAGGTTTCACTTCTTGTAATGGCACTAGCCAAATGGATAAGATATTAGACACAGCAGTTACACAATGTAGGTTCAAACCTTTGCAATTTAGTTTTCTTTATTTTGTGTGTAACAATTATTTTATTATTTTACTGTGTTATTAGCATTATTATTATTACTATGTTGCGTTTAGTGGGTTATACTCAGTTCACACCAGTGGCTGTGTACTATGCCGGACCAGAGTCAAGGCATAGCAACCAAAAACTAAAATTAAATAAGCATGTCAGTTTCTGTATTCAGAAATTTCCTAACAATATGGCATGTATTCAATATAGTGGCCTTCTGTAGTGTGATGTATGTATTTCTATTCAATTGTAATATTCCTAGGCTTTTGTGTAGTATGTGTGGTATCACACCTGAACAGGAGAGAACGACAGGTACAATAAGCATCCTATCCATCCTCCACAGATGCCTTATTTCCTGGGTGAGTTGTGTGTACAGTCGACTCCACTATAACATGGGTTCCTATAGTTCGGATTCCTATATGATGGCGAAAAAATTGTGACGATATCCGTACAAACATGGTAAAAAAAACTCCTATAATTCGGTNAATAAAAAATCAAGAGCGGATAGCTGATATTAGTAGGCATTTTAATTTAAATGAGTCGACTATTCGGTCGATTAAGCAATCGGGAGAAAAGATTAGAAATTTGGTCGCATCCGGATCATCTATTCTTGCGAAAAATGTTGCTAGTCTGAGAGCACCTATAATGTAAAAACTGGAACAAGTGCTAATATTATGGGTAGAAGATATGAACAAGAAACGGTTGCGTTTAAATAAAACTGCACTTAAACACAAAGCCTTAAAAATATTTAATTATTTAAAACAAATGGGACAGTCGTCAGCTGCAGTGGCGTAACGTGGGTGTCAGCCGCCCAGGGCGGAGGGCAATTTCGCAGCCCCCTTATTTAGGTATCTCAATTTAAAAGACTAAAATTCAGTTTTGTCACAGAATAAATAATGAACAATTCCGTGCTCATTTCAATCAGTCCGAATCGTAGATGCGACAAAAATATGAAATGAAACAGTTCAAATTTTTACAAGATATTATTATTTATTGTGAAATTTTTGCCGCCCCTTAAAAGTGGCGCCCCCACTATGCTTTGCCACTGGTCAGCTGATGAAACTAATGTTAAATTTGTGGCTACCAATAGCTGGTTTGAAAAATTCAAAAAATGCCATTCAAACGCCAAGTTTTTCTCTTTNTTCCATATATTGTATAACTTGTAATATAGTATATATATTATTATTTTCATGTAAGCATATAATGAGATAAAAAGAAAACAAATACATTGAAATCACATCCATTAATAGCATATTGTAAACTTTAAGGGGAAAAATTCATTGAATAGCAATATAAATTTCTATCAACAAAAAAATGAATATTCAAAAATAGATTTCTAGTTTAACCATTCAATTACCATTTACCATTCAATTTCATCTGTAAGGAACAACTAATCATTTTTAAGGAGCTAATTTATTACTTGATAAAATGTTATTTGAGACTATCATATCTTATTGTCAGATTCAATTCATCGAAATTGAATGTAAAAAACATAGAACTACTAACTAAGATGTCTTATGGATAATACAAATATAGAGTCACTTAACAGAGAACTAATAAGTGTCTACCTCTAGTACCAAATTACTTAATTTATAATTATCAGTTGTAGCATGAAATAGCTTGATTAATCAAGGCTGTCACTGGGTTTAGAACTAATCAATTCATTTCGTATTACTTATTTCTGTAATTAATTAATGTAATTAATAAATAGTTAATTTTCTGCAAAGAAGCTATTTCAAAAATTCCTTAGAAAAAGATATACATTTTAATTACAGAAAGAATAAACATCAGATGAAAAACAAAAATATCCACTATTAGTAATGAAACAAATTTATCATTCATTTTGAAAGTATTTTACAAATTATCAAGATAAAGCTTTGAAAGTTTAACAGTACTTTGAGTTCTTTGAAATCTATTGAGATTATATTTTATTAAAATGTTTTTAAAAAATATATCAAGATAATCAATTTTATCGTAAAAGACAGTATTTTGTGTATACACTAAAAAAAACTTGGATTTTTTCTCTAAAAATCTTTTAAAATAATCAGTACCAACTTCTGAGGATTAAAATACTAACAAGGGGAGAGCACAAAGTGGGAAATTCACTTTGGGATGAGACTTGGTACATAGGTAGTACTCCTTTTGAGTGTTCAACCCTCAAAACAAGAAAGCACAATGGCCAGCCAATTTTCAGAAAAAGACCTTTAAAAATTTTAACTCAGTTTAAGTACTAATAAATTTTGCTAGATTGGCAGCTCAGTCAATAGCATTCTTGGCTACTGCCAAGTCATTCAGGGTTCAAATCTGTCTCAATTATTAATTTTATTTTTTTTTCTTCTGAAAATTTTTTAAAATAAGTATTTTTAATNGGTACAGTAAGTCTAATACAGCACTAATTTTATACATTTCTTGTGAAAGAAACATTTCTTATTCAACGGCCATAAAAATTATTTATATTAATGATGTCTCCAAAATTCAATAAAGTTTTTGCAGAAAAATAACTTATCAGAAATCGCGATCGCCGTTTGGTGCGCTGCTCCACGACGAAAACAAGCTTAAGCAATGGCAATGTTGAACGGTGCACACTCGGTAAGTAATCCTACAATTTTTTGTTTATAGCATAGTTTATATAGATTATTCCCAAAAAAGTATACGTATTTTAATCGATTAATTTTATGAAAGAAAATCTTTCAAACAGCCATAGTCCGTAAACTGCACACGTGCCGGGCTGTGATTGGCAAAGACTCGTACAAAATGGATTCATAAAGAACAGAACATATCTACCATATTATAGGGGGGTCGACTGTACTTGCTGATTTTTTCAGTACATGTGTTTTGTACATTGTGAGTGTTTGGAATGGCTATGTCTATAATGTAAATGATTTTATTGTGTTTGTCAATGAGTGTGCTGTCTGGTCTGTTGTGGTAAATTGTTTTATCTGTGATTATGGCTCTGTCGTAGTACAGTTTGTGCGTGTTGTTTTCAATACTGTCTGTGGAATGTATTTGTAGTATGGTTCATGATGTCTAATAATTTGTGTTTGTTTGGAAGCTCTTGGTGTATTACATTTACAACTTGATTATGTCTGTGTAAATAATCTGTCTGTGCCAAGAGCTTGCACCCAGATGTAATGTGTTGTATAGTTTCTGGCATGATGTGACATTTTCTGCATGTATCATTTGTGAGTGTTGCATCTTTGAGTATGTGTTTTCTGTAGTTTTTAGTATTTATGACCTGATCCTGTATGGCAATCATGAATCCTTCCATCTCCCCAAAGAGACATCCCCGATCTAACCAGCTGTTTGACGCAGTTTTGTCAACAAAATCCCGGGCCAGGTCATAAGGATGCCTGCCGTGGAGTGCCTTTCGAGCCCACGATTGCTTGATGGTGTCTATGCTTTTTATGTGTTGTGTCTTGCCTGTATGATGTGAATGTAAGTTTAATGGTGTGTTATTTGAGTCTGCTAGAGTTACTGCTTTATGTAACTGTGATGTTTCTTGTTTTTTTGTAGAAAAACTCTTGCAGTGACTGTATTTGTTTGTAGTGAAGGTTAACTATGTCAATCAGGCCATGTCCACCATCCTTATGTGGAAGGGTTTTAATCTTTCTGTGGCGGATTTAGGATGATGATGATTACACTTAGTAAGTGCTGTTCTTCTTGTTTTCTTTTGGAGTTGCTCGAGATCTGTGCGAGTCCAATGTATAACTCCAAAACAGTATGTGAGTACTGGGATGACATATGTGTTTATTGCTTTAACTGTGTGTTTTGCATTTAACTGTGTTCTGAGGATAGCATTTAACCTACTTCGGTATTCTTTAATAATTAATCTTTGCTTTATTTGTGTATGTTCTGTTAGTTTGGCCTGTTGGAATCCTAAATACTTATATAACTCATCCTCTTCCATGGATTCAATAACATCTCTATTTCCAAGTGCAAAATCGCCTTTCTTCAGGATTCCTTTTTCTATGTGAAGTTTTTTGCATTTGTCTAGGCCAAACTTCATTTGTATGTCCTTAGTGTATGAGTGTGTGATTTGTAGGAGTTGATGAAGTTGTTTCTGTGTGGATTCATAAAGTTTTATGTCGTCCATGTACATGAGATGTGACAGCATAAACTATGTTGTTTTTTCATGTCTGATATTGTAACCATAATGCGTGTTGTTTAACATGTTGGATAATGGGTTCAGGGCTAGGCAGAACCAGAGAGGACTCAAGGAATCTCCTTGAAAAATTCCTCGCCT